GCTCTGTACTAGAGAAAGCCAAGATCAAGGCCAAGTGTCACAGTCCTCCCTGAAAATAATTGCAGCATGCAATATAATCCCACATGCTCTAGCAATATGTAGTCTAAATAGAGATGAACAGCATAGAACTGGATGGTGGTGGAATTTTACCAGACCTTGGGAATTTTATGTTAATTAAGAAATGCTGATTAATACAGAATGGTGAGTTTTAATAACCCAGTAATAAAAGTGCAATTGAGTTTCAATAACAAGTGTGTCTTGATTCCTTGAAACAAATCTTCTGATTTTTAATTGGGGGATTAATCTAGTGGAAAATTTTGTCTGGCTTAAGAGAGCAGTTTTCTGTTGGTGTTTCATTCCCCATACCAGGGGTCTGCCTGGGTAACTGAGCCATTAGGAGAGAAGTCTTGGAAGCAGTAGAAGTTAACGGGCTTGACACCAAATTTACGGGGTGAGGTTGTGTCACACTGGAGCAGGGAACAGAGGATCACAAGAGTTCTTGGTGTTGAATCCCCAGCAGCACAGAATAGTTCAGGTTAAATTCCTGTAAGTGCTCAGAAGGAAAATTACAGGTTTGCTGAGAAATATTTTAATGAAGGTGCTGGGACTATTGTGCCCATCAAGATCCATCCTCTTTCTCACATCAGGATCCAAATGCTTCTTTCCCCTTCTAGTGGCACAACTGAACATTCCTTGAGTACAAAGGGAAGGAGAGCCCTGGATCTTTTCCATTTCTGAGCATGCATGGTAACAGGAACATCCTGAGGTTTGATGCAGATTTCCTTGTACAAATATCCCCAAAGGAGGGAGAGGTGACTCTGAGAAATTTGCCCATTACTGTCAAATCACCACATCATTCTCTGCACCCTGGTGTAGATCCACAATGCTTTCTAGATTATATAAAGGAGCTCTGTCCAATAGAGGGATGTGACTATAAGCATAAAAAAAGGAATCTAGACAAGGTTGGTGTGGAGGGATAGAATGTAAGAAAATAAAGATAGTGCAGAAGGTAATCTCACCTTTGAGGAGTTGCAGCTGTACTAATCACCAAAGATTAGGAACAGGCCTGCCCTTAACAGGCCACAGCTGTGTCCAATAAGAAGATGAGTGTCCCAAAAGAGTGGGTTAGCTGGTTAAAGAGAGATGCAGTTTGTTGGCTGCGTGAGGAGAGAGTTGGAGTTTGTTGGTTGTGCTGTGAAGAAGGAGTAAGTGCTGTGAGGAGGTGCCCATGAGAAACCACTGAGAAGGCATGGAACTTTTGCAATAAAATGAAAACAGTTTGGTATATCCAACCTCAACCAGTGATGGCATAAGAAATCCACTGTAGCAAAGGAAACATGAAAAGCAATGGAATTGCTAGTTATCAGCAATGGAATTTCAGAAGTTAATGCTCAAAACTTCCAGCTGAGGAATACACACATCCCTGAAATGCAGCATAACTGTTTCCAATAGCAATAGATAAATCCGTGCCCTAACTCTGCCTCCTACCACCTGGGTAACTTTCTACAGTGATTGGGAATTGCAGAATGTACCAATTCCCTGCCACACCACCTTGTCTGGCACAGGAGGACAGTGTTCCCTCCAAGACAGAAAAACCTCTGGGTCTGGACGTGGAGCCCTGGCTAAACGAAGCCGAGTCTGCTACGTGCCTTTAATTTCCTTGCCTTGGTGAAAGCTTAATGTCACCACTGAGGCATGGAGAAGGTGAGTTAGGGCTTCATCAGGAGTAACTGGCAGCAGGCAGAGCTGAGGGCAGATCTCCATCAAGCGCTCTAAGCCACTGGAATGAAGCTGTGGCACTGCAGAGTCTGGGAAGCAGTGGTCCCCACGCAAGTTTTCATTTCAGAGCACCTCAAGCTCAGCCTCTTTTAAAACCTGACCTTTTCCCTCCAGCCCTCCCCTTCATGCTCCAGGTAGCCTGGGCCCTGCCAAAGCAGAAATCCAACTTACCAGTCACCAGACAGCTGGTGGCACACAGAGCCCACTCCTGATTAGTTCATCACTGGGTTAGCTTGTGTCCAGCTGGCCCATCCTTCCTGTGTTACAGCAGCATGCTGTAACCATGAAGTGATCACAGCAACACACATTCCTCTCCTTTCCCTGCAGCCTCTCCTTCATTCTGTGCTGTTTCTTTAGGTACTCAGTGGAGCCATCCCACCCCACCACAATCTCTGAGTGCCTGCATTCAGAGCCCCTAAAGTGTCATGAGGAAATCTTACTCAGTGATAAGCAAGATTCAGGCTTCGGTTTCTGTCAGGATTACAGAGGGGTGGTTTTGTTTCCTTGGTTTTATTTTGATACTTTTGAACTTGCGTAAATATAATTAGTATCACTTCTGTTTTGACAGTACTCTAAGTAGTGGCTCAGATTACCCTCCCTGCAATTAAAATTTAATATTGCTTTATAAAGAGAAGGCACAATGACCCAATTAGAAATACTGACAAGTATGCTGACCAAATCTTTACATTTTATCTTCAAGAAGAAAGAAAAGAAAAAAATCTCAGGCAGCAAAATTAGGAAAATCACAATGGGAACTGCCACCTTAAGACTGTACTTCTATTGAAATTCAAACCATCACAACTTTGTTTTCCATTTATCTGAATTACGGCTGGAAATATTTTCCCAATGTACTAGAATTCTAAATTTTGTTGTTGTTGTTGTTCTTACAGTTTGCAAAGCAAACAATCCAACCATATTAATTCCAATACCTTAACAGTCTATCAAATACAGCAGCTCTGTCACTTACCTTTCAGGCTACTGCATTCATAGGAATCTTTTTATTTTGTAGCATTATCTCATATAAATACACATGTAAGTTTAGCACAAACTAAAAATGTGTTGTACACTTCAGCTAATCTAGTATCTTTCATTTCTAAGGAGGATTTGGGTGGAGGCCAAGTTAATTAAAACCAGAATAGAACTGGGTTCTATTCACATGAGTCATATACCTCTGACTCACAATAGAGTCTGTGCAGCTAATGGGTTAATTTGTCCTGATAACAGAAAAAAAATAAGCTGGAGGTTATGACTGTTTGGAGTGAGTGCTGGTTTCAGACGGTAGATGTACACGGTTTTTATGCCACTGAGAACACAGACCTGCTCTAATGATGTCCTTTCTGTCTATTCAAGTGCTGTAACAAACAGTTCAGAAAGATCTGGAGGTACAGAAGGCTCAGAAACGCAGGCCTGACGCCTTCAAGGCTCTATTATTGTAACAATGTGCACATGGAAGTGTTAAGTCACTGTTACAGAGAGGGAAGTCTCAGCCACATGCAAGCAGCCAGCAATGCTGGCAAGAGGCTGATGGCCCTGCAGCATTCAAGGGGAAGGCACCTGGGAAATCCACACACCTCCTTACCCCAAAGCTGAGCACCCACCTCTCCACCACAGAAGTGAGGAAATTTTCTAAGCTAACAACCTTCCTGCCTCCTCTGGGCACTGGCCCCGCCCCAGCCTCACTGGTCACTTTTAACTCCTTGTTTTACACCACAGCCCAAAGGCAGAAAGGGGCACTCGGTCCCTAACCCACACCTATTATTCCTTTCATGAGATAGAGAGGCTCACGGCACAGAATTCCCCCCTGCCTTCCTGCAGGACTGTGAGCCTCTCAAGACAAGTACTTCATCACCATCCCTGCACTCAGTGTATCATCACATATATATTATGCAGAGTGCTGGAAAAGAGGAGTGAAAGGAGAAGCTCAGCAGGAACTTTGCAGTGAAACAGAGGCAAGACAGAGGTCTGTCTGTTTTCTCTTCAAAACATGTTTGGGAATTTTAACAGCTTTTGATTGACTGAAATACAGAAGCAGGCCTTACAGGAGGCCCAGAAGACAGGTTCTTCCCCCACATTTTCTTCTACCTTTTCAACAGCTTAATCACCAGCTATGCTCCCTCTTCTGCTCTCCTTCTGTCTCAGTTAATGTGGAGTTACTCTACACACTGAGTACAGCTTAGGCATCAACAGTGCCCCTCCAACAATAGTAAAAACACCATTTCTCCTTCATTTCATACTGCAGGATTCTAAAGAGGAGGAGGAGTAACTCCCATGGCTGCAGAAGGGTATTAAAGCCACATCTTTTGCTTTCTGTGTGAACAGCAATGAAAAGATTGAGGCAGCCAGACTGTGACCTTTGTGTTGTACTGCAATGTTTGAAGAAGAGCAAGTCTTGTTCTTCAGGACACAACCCACAAAATTTACAACAAAAGCTCCAAGTGCCTATGGTGGGGGTTGAGAATGTGGATCCTAAGCAAGCAGAATTGCTTCTATCCAGCCCTGAGTAAAACTGGGATTGAAGACTGGCATTAAAACTCACCCTGTCTTTAGTGCTCCCTGTTGATTAGGCAGCTCTGCTTGGTGGTTTCAGCTTTACAAGCAGACCTAAAGATCAAACACCTGCTTCTGGACTCCAGCCAGTAATTCAGTGGCTATAAATGTCGATCTGGAGCACTTTAGATGCCTATATTTTGGACTGGTTCCAAGCTCTGCATTGAAGCTCCTGCATTAAAGGGTCGCAACAAAAACAAGTTTATAAAAAAATAGATCTCAAAATCTTCCTAAATGCAATTATTTTCTGACACAGACATTATAATTTCAATGTTTTCCTAACATTTTGTTAGATTCAAAATTAACAAAATTATATTTATCTATATAAATAAATTATATTATATTCGGTGGATATCCCCACCGAAGTGCCCAGCACCACAAAGTTAAAAGTAAAGGTGTTCTTTGCTGCTTTGAGTCAAAGACAGCATTTTCCTGACCTGCTGCTGTTAATCATTTCAAACATATGTTTACATGATTGCTTTTGCCAGCCCCCGTTCAGCTGTCACCAGCCCCCACAGAATATAATAATAAACACCTTGCACACCCACAAAGGGGTTACTGGAAAAGGCTTGGGTGCATGGAGAGGTCTGGAAGTTTTGAGAACACAAAACACACAGCTTGCCTAATTTTTTTGTCAGACAACTCATTCTTTGACCCAACAACAACATGCAGGGTTGATTTTCAGGTGCAAATTTTATTGTGAATCATAACAAAAGGTTTCAGGAAAAGCACAGGAAAAAAAAAATCAGCAAGAATGTGTCTTTTACTTACAGAGTACATATATTCTGTGAAAGCTACTAACTCTGCAGCTGAAGGCAATGCAGCTTAATTTTAACTAACAATTATTTTCAGATACACGTTCAGCAAAGTTTGAAAATATTCTTTTTTCTCAGTTAGTTTGATATTGAAATTGAGGACCAAATGTTTCAATGACTACTATGGTTGCAGCGTGCATGGTATTAAATTGTCAGACAAAAAAGAAAATCTCATTATTGCAGAAACAATCTCACAGAAAATATTTTCAGAATACATAAAATTAGCCCTTGTAAATGTTGAATGACTCAAAAGCTCTTTGGAAAAATCTGTGGATATTGAGGTACGCCTAATTTCAAAATTTTGGTGGCGCTATGTCAAGTTTTCATGTGACAAATCAAAGTAAAATATCTTCATGCAAGCTAATTGTAACTTTTTACAAAGGATTCCTTCAGTCTGTAATTGTACCTCGACTGTGAAGAGAAAGCCCACATTAATTCTTACAATAAAATGACAAAAGTCATACAGGTAACAGTCTAAAAATCTTGCAAGAGGTCTTCAAGGCACTGTTTTCTCTTTGAATGCTTGGCCATTGATGAAGGTTGTTTTGAGAGGAAGACAAGAATAACAAAAACAAGACCTAAGGCTGGCATCTAGTATATTAAATATCATATATATCTTTACCTAATGAAATAAACTTCTAAAAGCCATTCTGCTTTACAACACTGTGGCTTGCAGTAAGGTGTCTGCTAAAACAACCTGAAACGCGAATTTAAAACCATACTTCCAGAATAAAAAGTAAGAACAAAAGCCAACCAATACCCCAATCATCATGGTCTGCTTGAATGCAGCCATTCCCCAGCACTGCAATGCTCTCCAAGAGAGGCTCTGGTGATTCCTGCCACAATTCACTGCAGTGGATTAGGACCTCATCCAGCTCCTGCTGGTCCACCTGAATTCCTGAGCTATGGAGCTGCAAGGGCTGCCACCCTCTGTAACATGACTAGGAAATGTAAAGAACTGCATTCTGCAGTCAGCACATTTAATAGGAAACTTGGTTTGTCTGGACTCCATCAGAAATACAGAGCAATCCAAATTCTGGGCTTTATGAGTGTGTCTTGGGTAAAATCGTGCAAAGGTTCCCTTTTATAGGACTTGTTCTTTATGGCAAATAACAGCCAGTCAGCTGAGAAAGAAATCTGATAGGAGCTGACCTCAAGATATTAGGATTTTAGGTAATTATTTTGACAACAGCTTATTGACACATTGTGAAAAATCTGTAGCTCCTCTTTAAAAAAAAAAACCCAAACAGCAAGTTCTGTGTGCTTCAAAGAGCACACCAGGATCCATCAGGAGGGAAAGGAAGCCCATCTCCAGCCACAGCAGAAACCTAGATATCCTATTGCTGGATGCAATGGATGAATCAGAAGCCACAGAAAATTGCTCTTTTGGGGGGTTTCACAATGCCCCAGCAGCAGCAATGGTTCCTGCTTGATTACCACTCAAGGCAGGCCAAGAATTGGCCACTTTTTGGTGGGCCCAGCTGCCTGTGGGGTCTGTGTGACACAGCACAGAGACAGGCACATTGCTCTGGTGGGTGGGATCCCAAAACCACCATGAGATCCTCAGGCAGGGCCCTGGATTTACCCCAGCTGGCTTTAGGATCCACAGTGCTGAGACAGCAGCCTGGGGACCACCGGCTCCCTCTGGGACCAGGAGAGGAACTGGCCTCTCCAGGTGGCAGCTCATGTCTCACACGAGCTCAATCAATTGATTTGGGTCCACTTAATCATCTTAAGTAATTATAAATAAACCTGGGATTGGCTAAAATTTAAACAACTTCTATCTTGATATAAACAGTGAGGAGAATTCTGCTTTCAGCAGTATGCAGGGTGCATTGCTGTGTATCCAGAATAAAAAAATGTAGGTGTGGCAGAATTTGGCCCAAATAACTTTTCCCTTCCCTGAAGGAAAGGGCTGGCCTACACCAACTGCTGAAAAGCAAGCTGTCTACAGTAGTATTCTATATTTCTCTTATATTCTGAATCAAAGCAATAAATATTAGATATAATCTCTATATTGGATGAATCTCTATATTGGATTTCATATTTATCTGATAGCTATTTAAATCTATACTGTCAAAAATATAAGCAGTGACCCACTCCTACATGGCAGCATATACTATTTATGTGTAACTGTTAAAACTATCAATGGATCTATATTTACATAGGACACTGTTGTTTATATAGCAGATTTTCATTTACATAAATTCTTACCATGGGATAGATAATTGTGGAAAGGTTGGATATTGTTTAAATGCTTCTACAGTTCTCCATAATTGCATTTCAACGTGAGGATTTAATAATTCTGTCTCAGTTTTATGTTTTATAAGGATGGAAATGGAGCCTGACAGATAAATCTCCAATAATGTTATACCCATATAGCAGAAGAAATACTTATTTGCAAGTCCAGGCAAAGAAAACTGCTTCAGTGTTCACTTTACCCATACAAATCTCCTCTTAAAAGAAAGTGCACTCCTGAAAACAAAGGCTGTCAAAATTCTTCAGCACTGTTGAAATGTAAAAGTGTTGCAGCTGAGCATGGTCTGCAGAAAAAACATAATTTGTTTTTTAATTAGCTATTACAATTATTACTAGGTGTGCAAGTGAAAAGCTTGCATGTTAAACATTAAAATAAGCTGAAATTGCTGCTGATATATACACGAGAAATTCTGTCTCCGTTTGCTCAAAAAAAGTTTGGTTCATTCCTATTGTTTAGCTTCTCAGATACTAAAGCTATAATGAAAATGTTCATTTTCATTGAGGTCAAAATGTCAAAATGTCCAGCTGTTTCTCCCTGTAAAGGGGAAATAAATGTTGTTTTCTGTACCTCTAATTTCAGAAACTCGGTTTAAAACACACAGGTAAGAAAATATTTTAACCAAGATATTTAGAGTGCTTCTTACTCAGATATTCTTAATCAGATAATTTCTGAGATCAGAGAACACCCAGGCATTGTCCTTTGAATTGAATATTGACTTTCCCTTGGAAAAGTTCATATTATGTCTCAGGAAAACAATTTTGTAGCCCCCCAGCAGAAGTCAGCATCACCTTATTACCAAATACCAGCTGGCTTTTAGCAAAGACAGAAAATCATTGCTGGGGTTCCCTCTGTGCTGACGTTGTACTGGAAAGCTCTACATAAAAGAAAAAGAAAAAAAGCCCTGGCAAATGGAAAGATGTAATGCTTTACATCACGAGTAAAGCACGGTGTCCCTGCCAGCTCTGCCTTTCTGCTGGTGACCATTCAAGCACTGCCCCATCGCTCCTCCTTGACCTGAGCCAGCCCTGCAGGGCTGTTAACAGCTCTCCTTCCTGCACTGAGCACTCCCAAGACTTCTGAAGAGTTATCAAGGAATTTTTTTCCTGACTGTGTAAAGCAGGACCCCAAGGATCTGTGGTTGCAAGGGAGCGCTTTGTTTCAGAAGTGATGCAGGCAGCCTCCAGCAGCTTCCTGTGGAAGCACAACTGGAGCTTGGTAACAGTCTAAGGGAAGAATCATCTCCCAATTCCCTTTTGTGTCTTTGTTAAAGCTAAAACCAAACAGGTAACAGCTCAATTGGTGGTGATTAAATTTAAAAAAAATCTTTGTAGCCATGTAACATCACCAAAGAACTTCACACTCTAATGGAATCTTTGGATGGAAGTAGTTTTGACCATTTCTAGAAAATGAATCTTATTTCTTCATGTTGAACATTATGCAGTTCATTATGATGAACATACATTCATCATAAAATCAACCAAAGGGACAATTCTAAATTCTATTTAGCAATGAATCTAAACTTGCAATCTGATAATCCTGTGATTAAACTGCCAAAATAAAAAACAAGCCATTCTTCTACTTTTTAAATGTTATAATAATACAAATATTATAGAAAAGCTGTATTATACAGGTGTGTCTTCCTGAAAAGTGTTCTTTGCAAAAAAGATCTCTTCCTTGAACAAAAACAAGGGACAAGCTGCAAAGTGTGGTTCTGTGGAATGCTCAATAGCACATATTGAAGCAGAGCATCACATCATAGTAAGTCTGAAGGAATGAGTAGCCACTTCAGTTTGTACCCATAAAATGAAAGTCTAATAATAGCATTGGAACTATATATTCAGCAGGTTAAGCTTTTTCTTCTTAGCTGTCATGTGAACAAGTGTATTTAACTGTTTCTCTCCATGCACATTCCTCACAATTAGAATGGAACTGTCTTATCATGGATAGAAAATATTCTTCCCCTCCCCAGATTAAAAAAAGATATATGTAAAAAAATAATTAAGTACTCAGTACAGAATATTCCTATGATTGGCCCCAAAGGCTGATTTGAATCAAACTTACTAATTTTCTTTTCATTGTTGCTTCACCTATTAAAAACAGTGTGAAGACAAGAATGTCTCCCAAACAAGACTGAATTATCCCAGAATGAAGACATGAATTCTCCCAGAAAATACCCAGATACCTTCCCCCAAACCCTTTTTTCTTTATAAGTTATATTAGTTTTAAATCTACTGTGAAAATAGTGGTGCCAGAATAATCAACTAATAACCAAAAATTCTTCAGGTAAATGGATTTGCTCCTTTTAGGATAGAGATGCAGAGGAATACTTATGGAAGATAGGCTAGTTATGATGTTTTCTTTGTCAACACTCCTTTGTGACTCAAATCAATTCTTCACTCCACATTCCTGTATTTGGAAAACAGATTGTACAGTACTCTCAGTGTAGACTTCAAGTCACAGTTTACAATATCTAGAAAAAAGACAAGGGAAGACAAATTAGTAACTTCATTAGCTCCAAATGTTTTCCAGAAAAAAATGCCCATTCCCTACTCCTTTCCCTTGCTCACATTAACAACCATGAACATTAGATCACAAGGATAGCAAAAAGAGTAGAAATATCAATAAAACACAATTTTCAAACTGGCAACTCAAAACTTGGCGTTTTAACCACTTCTAGTTAGGGATACAAGTAGCTCTTGCTGCTGCTGCTGAAACGTAGCCAAGCTCAGATGCTCCTGAGTCAAAGTGTGCCCAGGATTACACATACTTGTATGACTTCATCTTCAGACAGTTGTGGCTGGAAAGTAATGATTTTGAAAAAAAAAGTCATCAGGCAGTAACCAATGGAAGCTTCCTCTTATGTAACAATTGTAGGACTTGGCACACTCTGGACTGCAACATCCTTCACTAGGCCCAATTGCAGCAGGATAGCTAGAGGCAAGTTTAAATTTTCCAGAGGATCTAAAGAAGCTAGGTATACAAGTGCTCCTTGAACAAACATCTGAAAATTCTTGGAGTTAGCTGACATTCGTGGCTGAATCAGTCCTCAGAAACTCAACATCTAGAGTAAAGGATTTATATGAAACAAAAAGCTAATGAATACCTTCTGTTTCAAATAGCAGTTCTTGAGAAAGTCAATATTATTTCACAAGAAATCTATAAAACAAACTGACAAGCACTACTGCAGCAGTCTACACCAGTGCTTTAGTCAAACAGGGATTCAGAATTGCCCCAGAAAGAGCAGAGTGGAATCAGAATTGTCCCATCTCTTTCTGCTGAATGCATAAGAACTCAAATTCCTAACTGTGGTTCTTGGAATTGGCCAAAACCTCCAAGTGAGCCCAGTAAATGGTGTATTGTAGTCACCAGAGTTTAGCCATTATATTTATCTACATTGATGTTTCTCATAGATTGTGAAGGGTCACACTTTAAATAATTAATCCAATCAAACCTGTGCCTGGTAAGTATGCCAACTAAAGACATTGAATTTATATCCATGGACAAAGGGTGGAAACACTCAAGGCTAGATTTTATTCTGGGCCTTGGTCATATAACCAGAGCCAGCATTGGTTTGTGGCTCTTTATAAATCAGATGAAAAATGCTTGGTATAAAATGAAGAGGAAATGCCAAAAGCTGCAGGAAGGGTGCATTGCCCCCACAACATCCCACAGCAATCTGTAATACTGTTTGCATGCAACACTGGAAGTTTCCTCTTTCAGGCCAGCAGCAAGGTGCAGAATTACTTTTTTTCCAAACACAGAACTTCTATTATTAAAGAAGTAACTTTGTTAGGTCTTTGCAAAGACACCACCACAAAAAAGATACCAGCACCACCACAAAATCCCACAGAAAGGCTCAAAGTAAAAGAAGCACACTCCCAGAGAAAGATGGGTTATTCCCATTGCTACATGGGTTTGACCAGCACATGTAACATTATACTGGTTGCAAGTTTCTAAAAGAGAAACTTGTGTTTGGCTTTGATGTGCACATTGCAAGGAGCTCTGAAAAAGCTCAAACTGCAAATGAATTCATTATAGATTCAGCAGATTAATGTTCCAGCCATTTTTAAAGTAAAAGGTCACAGAAAGCTTTTTAAGACCTTTTTGATTATATTGCAAATAACCCAAATAAACTGTTGACCCCATAAAAATCATTGGTTTTCATACTCATTTATTTAACTGCATTCTTTTTTTTCCCTCCACTAAATATGTTTTTCATATTCTAAAGCACTTTTCAGCATATTTTTTCCTCAAGGACCTCAAAGAAACAGTGTAGGAATTCAAAGAGTATTTAGTGTACACATTTAGGGTAAGATCCTTTTCAATACTCTTTTGCTCACTGGAAATTTTAAGTACGGGCATTGTGCCCAATGTAACAACACATAAAACAGATGTGTTTTTCCATTCACTTTGGGCAGGAAGTTTCATATTAAGCATTTCAATAATTGCACAAGAAATGTCTTATATATGCTGAAATATCCTTATGGCTTGATTTATACTGGAAAAATTAGCTGTCCCCTAGAGCAATAAATACCTGAAAAATTAAATGCCATAAGAATTTTAAACCATCCATGGGGAGCAAGGGATCACAGATACTCTGTGTTTTACTTGGATCCCTCAATTTCACTGTTTCCTCATTCTCACTTTGACTATTTCAGACATAAAGGCTTGTGATACACTCACCAGTGGTACAGCTAAGCATGACTGTGGATAAGAGTTCAACCAGTCAAAAGAAGTAAAAAAAAACAGGCTAGGTAGGTGGAGATTTAATGCACAGGCTCGATTATTTTTTGTGTGTGTCTGTGGCTGTCATAACCTGGAAGTTGGGAGAGATGGAAAAAAACCCTGAATGGAGCAGAACCTGATTGAGCAAGCAGTCCCCGAATCTCCCAAGAGTTCTGACTGCTAGAAGCAGCACTCTGACATGAGCTTATGTCAGCTCCTCAGGGAATGACAATCCAATATTGTGGCAGGAAAAGACTGTGAAATGTAAGTCTGAAATTGGCCTTGAAAAGACACAGCTATGTTGATTTTTGTGGCAGGTAACCAGCAGGAGCCCAGATATCATTCCTGGTGGGAAGAGGGGAGGAGAAGCTGCACACCCAGCTCCTGCATGGTAAGAAGTGGTAACTCCTCACAGGAGGAGCAACAAGGGAATCCAGGGCTCTGTCTCCAGCCTGAAAAGCTGGATTTGAACACTGTATGTGTATCAACAAAGAGGAGTGGAATCCCAATGCTCACAAAGTCAGCAGCAAAACCTTTATCCTCCATGAAGCACGTTCTACTGCCAGTCCCCAGCTCTACATCTAATTTAAATATGCATTATTAGGTCCTGCATCCAAAGGCAGTATGTGAACATTTGAAATTCAGCTTCCACAACATCTCCTTCGTTTGTGAAAATCTTATAAATTACTGGAATACTCAAGGTTTAGCATGAAAACATGAGATGGAGGAAAATGGAGCGATTGGAGCAACTGACACCTGCCAGTGACACCAATCACAACTGTGTTCTCTTTCTTTCAGGGAATATTGGAGTATTACTGCATATGTTTGGTCAATGAATAAAAGAAGCATTGCAACCTTTGAAAAGTGCATTTAAAATACAGAGTTCCTTGAGCACCACAAAATGTACCTTGCCTTTTACTGCTGATTAACTTTACCTTCTTACACTGTAACCTTGGGAGATCTGGAGCCCACACAAATTTTTAAGGAATACAAAAAAGGTAGAACAGGTACCTTCTGGTCTTGGCTTTGGTTTTTCCAATCCACCATCCTGCATTAGCTCAAATGCAAAGGATACATTGACAACCTGGCAATACAACAGAGGCAGTCACTCTTGTGAACTCTGTACAGTGCAAATGGTCAAGACAAGATATATTTTTAAAGCTGCAAACCCAGATATTCAAAAGGAAAAAATAGTCAGGGCTCTGCAGATCTGGTCTTTGGAATCCAGACAGTCCATTGTTTTGCTGTTTCTGGGTGATGGTGGTTGCAGAAAGATAAAGGTAATTGAAAGTTAACACGAACTAACACAACCCTTAATAAAATTTCTCACAAGTAAGCACAGCCCACTTCCTACAAGTTCAAAAATTGGAACATGATGGCCCCTGAAGTGCTCTTGTCTTGAACAGACAGATGAATTGCCTGGATAGCTACAGACACTGATGTAATGTTGGTCTAAATTGACACATTGTACATATATGCCTTTATGCTTCCAAAACCCTTTAAACCTTTCCAACATTAAATTCTTGGATTTTGGACACACAAAAAAAATCAATTCTGTCATCAGTGCCTGTGTGTAATCCTATATATGTTAATGAACAGTAGGTCATGTATAATGACAGCACCACACAATGGCTGCCAAAATCTGTTAATACTTGCTAACCACCCCATCATTAATATAATTTTCTGTTTCATTCCAGCTAAGTATTAATGCTGATTTTTAAATACTTGGAAATGGTTAGCAGTACAGTCCTTTCTTGACTTCAGCTATTAGCATCAAACTTTATGCACAAAAGTTTGTGTTATCCTTCTACAACTAGACATATTTATATGTTTGCTTTTAACAGAAAGATGAAATCTAGTTACCTTTTGTTCAAAACTATCAGGAGTCAAAAAAAAGCTGTGCAGGGGAACAAAATAGCCTTCCAGGAGACCCATTAGCAGGACTAAGTACACTCCATCTGCAAACTGTGGAAAAAAAAAAAAAAAACCAAAACATTTCTCAGTACATTTTCTGAAAAACAGTACACTGCTTTCCTTATTAGACAATGGAGTCCTGGAACAGATTTGGCCAGGGAAGTGACCAAGGCTGGATGGGGCTCTGAGCAAGCTGCTCTGGTGGAGGTGTCTCTGCAGGAGGAGTGGAGCTGGATCATCTTTAAGGTCCCCTCTAACCCAAACCATTCCATGTTTCTCTGGTTTTGTCACTCTCACTCCTACCCCAGTGGCATCAGGTCTATGGGTCTGTCAACCCATCACCTTCCTCAGGCAGGTGATTTTCCTTCAGCTGATGGAAATACAACCTCTCATTTCAGGGAATGCTGCTTCAGATAAATGCTTAAGGAGTTTCTAGGTACACTGGAATGTTTTCCCCCAAGGTAAATGATGCAATGAGCAGAAACAGGGAATGCCCTTTTGAAAGCCTTTGCACACAATTTCCATCTAAATCTTAATTTTACCTCTGAAAAATCTCTATCAGCTTGGTAGGTGTGTAAATAAAGTGGACATTCTTAATAACAGGAACCAAGACATAAAATAAAGCCTGACCTGAAGACACCTGGGGTTTTTTGATAGTGCAGATCCCATCCCTGCACTTGTTCACATGGGGAGGTATCAATACAGCAGGATTAAGCTTTTCTTTTAGCTTCTTTTCAGCCAATTTAGCAGCTGAGAACACGACAGAAGAGCATGCAGCACATTATTTCTGTGGTGCAATCAAGCCTGCAGCCCAGCTGTACAGCTGCCTGTACACTTGAGCAGCTTTGCTCTGGAGAATCCTGAATTCCCCCTGAATGGAGGCTTTGTGATCCCATGTGCTTGTGCAAAGGTAGGCAGGAAACAACTGCTCAGCCTGGCACTGCAGCAAACCAAGTGCACACAACCCCTTCCTGACCAAAACAAGCAGGTCCTCCTTGCAGCACTTGGCAGCACCCACAAAGTAGCATTTGGTAATTAATTTTTATGCTAATGGAGATACTAAACTGTTTTAGATGTTTTAGATTGGTGAGGGTCTTCTTTGTACATCTTTAGAAATGAAGGATTTCCTGGTGAAATAACATCTTAGAGCTCATTCAACAATAATTCAGTGAAATTTCTGGGTAAAGCTGAGGGCACAGTGCACAACAGAGTGCAACCACCTCTCCCCTTCAAGAAAGGCTATAAAATCCTACCTGTGTATCCAGTTCAGTCACCTCTAAATTCAACTTATTCAGATGCTTGTTCACAAAGGTGATGAGAGTCTGAAATATGAAAACACTGCAATGAAGGCCTATTCAGCAGGGCAGCAGCTCAACACCAGCAGTGTGAACTCCACTCAGAAGAGAATCTGCGTGAGTGAAGAGACTGCAACACAATCTCCAAATTTTGAAATTGAAATGTGACATTTGAAATTGTTTTAAAATTATTTTTTACAAGAATGAAGAACAGAACTAAAATGAATGTGATATATATATATATATATATATATATATATATATATATATAAATACACTGTTAAAACATAAAAAGCCCCCAGATTTTTAGCAGACTAGGGAGAAGTGGGTAATTGGACTCCACTCAAATCTGACAGCAGCCAAAATACTCTAGGGTCAGACCTCTGGCAGCTGTAAACTGGATATCTCATTGGCATCAGTACAGTCAATGTACCAGTTGGGTTCTACTCAGCACACACTTTGTGAGAATTCTCCTGATGGAAACTTTGATAACTGTATGTTGTTCCATGTTCCAAAGTTAAGTTCGTGCTGCTAAACATTAAATAAAAACTAAGATTATAATCATGACTTTGTGTATTTAAGCATAAAGCTTAATTGTATTTAATGTATGCAAAGCATGCCATTATACATTATATCCACACACAGCACATCCACACCATCTGATACACACAAGCATGCACATGAGGTATTTCAGAAATAAAAAAACCTTCCAACCTTTTTCACTACATTGAGCTTGTCTGGGGCATGGTCAAATAAAGTGTCGAATGCATCTCTTTCTGAAAAACATTCAGGGCCATTAATATACTGGGCAGCAGTTGTTCCAGTACAGAATAAACACTTCCTGAGACACACATTCATTTCAGACAGCACAGTCAGCAAAATGGTTCAATATAGTCTCTGAATTCCAAGTGCCAAGGAGTTTGCATACTTCTCTCTTGCTGCGAGCTGTCAGTAACTTATTCTCTATTATTCACAAAAAGGCATCATTTTCAGGTAGGATTTGGGTCACCTAAAGACCCTGTTTCTCAAAAATGAGCTAAGAATAGCATCTTTATGCATGAGATCTTGAACAGCCAGATAGAGACAGCCAAGTAACCAAATAATTTCTGCAGAAGAACATGAGTTTACATTAGTCACTGTATCTACAGAGGAAGATTTTCCCCAAGGGCCACTGACTAGATTATTAAGCAGGTTTATGATTAAATTTCTGCAATACAATCCTTTGTACAGATGTTTTTGGCCATTCTCAGAGGCAATTTAGGACAGCCAACCTAAGGTAGCATGACTGGAGTGCTACTGCAGCCACCTTCTGAAGAAAAGAGAAAAAATATATAAAAAGGCACCAGAGCCTTTTCTGAGCAATTTGTGTTTCAACAACCACCTGAATAACAGCAAATGACTCAACAAACATTCATATTCCTCAATTTAAGAAAAAACCCAAAGGCATTTGTGGAAGGCAGACTTTACACCAAGCAAGACTCAGGGGAGTGTTTTCTATTGTCCAAACTCAATCCTGGCAGTGAGACACACGAGGTACAGGGCCTGCTGAATAATGACTCCACATCTTTAAAGTATAAGTAGGTAATGGATGTGGAATATCAACATTCACCAGCTGGTTCATGATAAGACACCATTTTCACACTATGCTGGGAACTCAGGGCCATCAATACCACTGCAGTAATGTTCTGGAGGTTAAACCACAAAGCATGTGCAAATTAACATGGGCTGGACAGCAATGAAATGTGTTTTAAAGATGGTCAGAGTGATTTTATTGGCTTTTTTTCCCCTTATGTTAACTGCCACAACAGCCTGTGGGGCTTATTTACCAGGGCAACCTGAAATCCTCTCCTTTCTTGCCACTTGATCAAAGTGACCACCCACTGCAGAACTCATGTACCCTCTGGCTGCCTCAAGAAAAGAGACAATAATCAAATGAACTTACCATGCCTTCCTGATAATGCCCTGTGAGAAAAAAAATGGAAAAGAACAAAAGAGTTACATATAATTCACCTGCAGATATTGTGCTGCAACAAAACCCAGCATACATGGTAAGATCTTCAGCTTGCTGACTAATGGAGTAGATCCATGGATTTAGGAGAATTTTGGGAATAACTTCACCAAGTTACTCCAGGGTTAGTCTGGAGTCTATCAGTATAATATCTCTTGTCTACACCAAAGTCTCACAGGAGGCCAGATCCCATATTCCCTACTTTGAACCAGATCAGCACACCCTGCCTGAGTAAAGAAGGCTTTTCCATGTCCATTTTGAGAAAAATTTTCCCTCTGCTTCAAAGATGCATCTACCACACCAACCACAATAGAAATCCAGCCCAAACAAGCCTTGGGCTGGGTTCTTAGGAACTGCAGGATTTTGCTCCAGTTGATCCTTCTTATAACTATCACATATAAATCCATACAGCTCAATAACAAGTCAGTAGAGCAGCTTCTCTCCATTCAATTAGAAACCTGGATATTCTACTGCTGTTCCCATTTGGTTTGGAATAGCTTTTCTGCTATGAAATATTCAATGAGATGACACATACAAGGCTTACTACCATCATTTTACACACCTAAAGTCCTGCTTTTAGTTCCCCACCTCTCTATTTCCTCCCCCTTTTGTATTTTTTGATGCTTGTTTGCAGCTCTTGAAAAGGCTAAAATACAGTCACTGGCTGATGCATCATCTTCCCTGGAACCCCAATACTGAAAGCTAAATATCAGCAAATGTTTGAATTTCTGAGACACATCTGTGTTCAATTACTGTACTGCTGGCAAATGTGGTGTTGACATACTCAGTGTTACCAGTTATTTCCTCTTGGATTTGTCGAGACTGGAGGATTCCTTCTCGTTTCTGCAAAAAGGAAAAAAGCGACATTTTTCTCACTAAAGTTTAATGCTTAGGGTACAGTTAAAATTTGTGATCCACAAACATAATTAGATAAGAAACCTGCAGAATAAGAACTTTTCTTACACAAATTTTCAGTAATATATTATTTTACCTTGCAAGTATTTCAGAGAACTCTTTTATACATTAACAAGAAACCTGAAACTCCACCTGTAGAAGGAAGTATTTATTTTCCTTTCTCCATTGTTCTTAATTCACTTTTCTTTTAAAGGCCCCAATTCAGCGAGACATTTGAAACACCCAAACACACATGTAAGTATTTTAGTGGAGATAGGTCTAGGTGAGCTGAATTCAGCCCTGTATTTCAATGAACAGCTTGGCAGATGGTGCCCATGCTTCTCTTTTGCAAAAATCGTGCTCCCAGGCTATTTGTTCTTTATGCCCTGTTTGTACTATTTTTTTTTTTTTTGCCTCAGTGTTTCCTTTCTCTGCAGACAAACAGCTCTATAGGCTTCTGACAGAAACCAAAAATCCACACTGCCATGCTGGTCCAGCAGTGACTCTGATGCTCCCCAGATGGGAGCTGGTGCTGAGCAGCCTTTGCCCAGAGGCTGTGCCCAACCTGGCAGATGCCAGCTCCAGTCACTGCTGCTTGAATCAGCTGCAAAATGCAGCACTGGAAGAGTTTGACACTGTTTCAGTTTGCTGATCACACTCATCTGGGGATGCTGTAAATACCACACATATGTTTTGCCTCTCTTTGTGCTCTCTCTGTCAATCCTCTTCACTGGTATTACCAAAAATTTGCAGTACACAGAGAAAAGTCAGGCAAATGCTGACAACTCCATTTCAAGTCTAGACAAGATATCAGGCAATTACTCATGATTCTTCACTCCCTGTCATACAAGGGAACGAGAAAAATAGATTTATGCTGGCCCTACACTCATCTTCTATGTGGAAAAGCAAAAAGGAGAATTACCTTTTAGAAAAGCCCTTCATGGCATCTGAACTGGGGCTGCTGCTTTCTCCTTCCTTGGAGAAGACAGCACATCCCTACCTGAGGCAGTCCTCAGTGTGTGATGTGCTGAGGACTGAGCCAGGCTTGTCTATTCCTTCCATCACTAAAATACATTTCTTGATATATTTTTTCTTCTACATTGTATTACTAAAAGATACCAAGAAATATATTTATTTCTCAAGAAAAGCTGAACACGGCCCTCTGGGTCATTCCAGACTGGCACCTGGAGCAATGTGAATTGTCCTTGCAGCTAGATGACAGTTTCAGGGGGTTTCCATGCTATTTTTGAAAGTCCAGTTTCTAAATATCTTGCACATGGTGAAAAATGCATTGAGGGAGGACCTTGGAGAACCTAAAAGACAGAGGGGAGTCAAGGGTGTTACACTGTGGAAGAGGGGGCACAGAGCAGCTGCAGAGGCATTGCCTATCACAGCCTGAGGAAGAATTACATAATTTAGAATGACATAATTTAGAATGACATAATTTAGGGCTACCTCCACTCCCAGCTTGTGCAGACAGCAGTGAGTGCTGTCTCCAGAACTAACTCAAACTCCAAGTCACAATCTAGTTCATGCTAGCACAACTTGGAACCTCACTCTGTTTGGTATTTTTGTTTATTTTTCCCTTTGCTGCAGGGTGAAAGGAAACTTTTATTTTGTCCTCATGAGGACCCTGACATGCCACTGATGCCTCATGCAGCAAGAACCCTGCTGCTCTCATCTCCCACAGGGGCTGAGCACCACAGCAATGCCATCTATAGCTTCCACTGATCAGACTGGGAATGTGGGAACAGAAAAAGGTTTCTAATGCTCTACACCTTCTCTCTGCAAGCACACAAAAATTGCCAGAAATATACTCCAGCACTGATAGTAAAAATATTTCCTTTTCCGATAAAATGCAGCTAAAATATTAAAAGAAAAAAATCTGCAGCCTTATCTTGTTGTTGACAATAACAACACAAACAAACAAAAACCCCAAACCAAAATGATGCCAAGCCCTTGTTTTGTGTCTGGCACCTGACCACTAACACTGATGGGATTTCCACACAATGTGCATCCTCTGGACACTCATTTGACCAGCACATGTCAAGACAGACTTTCCTATACTTTTGATTGTAAATTCCCAATGGAAAGGACCCTAAAACACGGGTCTAAGCACCTTCTCTGAAGGCTGCTTCTCATAATCTCTTGCTCTTTAAAAACTCTTCACTCCAAATTGACCCCAGCACTGACGTCACCTATTGTGAGGATTGTCTTATACTAGACAGGGAATAACACAAATATTCCTGAAAATAGAGAGGTGCTGCTGAGGACTGAAAGACTATCCAGCATGTTTCTTAAAGGCAACAGTGGCTAAAATTAAAACAACAAGCTATAAAAATCAATTATTTGAAAGTCCCTGAGAAAAGAGGCATGAATTAGAATTCCCCATTAAAAAGAAAAGCTGGAGATGCATTCCAGTGATAACAGAAGACCTTAATGAACAGGCTTGGCATTTTCTTCCCTCACAGCTGAAAAACTTCAGAAGGCCCTGAAGATATTCCTAATCAGTTACCATTTAAAATTGGCAACTCCCTAGAACAAAAAAAGGTAGTACATCTGGAATTAGAAAAGATCTCTTATCTCCTTTTGAGTCAGCATTTTTATGTAACTGAGGGCCAGCTGCTTAATTTCCCCCACAAAGCCCCAGTCTGAAAATCTTGCCATTATTTGGATGGCTTTTTGCCTATGTCTTGTTACAACTCATTTCACCTGGAGGACCATGTTTTATAATTGCCCCACCACAGTGAAATGCAGAATTATTCTGGAAGAACAGAATTATTCAGAAAGAACAAATGCATTTGTCAGGGGTCCAGAGAAGACTTCACTGGAACCTGGAGGCAGTGCTGCTCCAAACCCTTTCAGACCTTCCCAGGCAGTGGTGCCAAGGATCTCTGATTCGGGCTGTGATTTACACACTCATCTCATCCCAATAATTCCCTCGCTCTGCCTAAGAGCAGTTCATGCACCCCAGAACTGCTGTCCCAGAACATGCTGAAGCCATTCTGGCTGCTCTGCCAATGCATTCTTACACTCTCAGATTTCCATCTCTTGGACACAAACAATCTGTCATCTAACCATCCGTGGATGGTAGAAATAAATAATTTTTAAGAAGAGGCAAAATGATGACAAGACCTAGCTCTCCAAAAAAGCTCTCAGTCATTTCAGTAGATATGATCAAACAAAGCCTGGGCTTTGTTCAAAGTTATTTATTCTACTGTTATGGCAGGAAAAGAAAATAATAGAGTAGCTACAAAAGGTCCAACTATCACATTTTTTCCTAAATCAGCTTAAACCCAGATTTCATATCACTCTCATTGCTAACAGCTTTTGTACAAAAGAGCCAAAGGAAATAAGCTTTCATAAGAACTAGGCTGATTACCTGTTAGACATGAGCACATTTTTTGTTTCACAAATATGCTTTTTCTATTTCAATAAGCTACATCCAGCCAACACAGCAACCCTCACGTTTTATGTGTTTCTATGCCTAACAAAATCATGAAATGAATTAAGGGAGTCTTTCTTAAAAGACTTCATAAAACCACTTTGTTCCTTTATTTCTGTCTCTCCTGTTCTCTTTATTAAACCATGCACAGCAGAATTTTAAAACAGCTACTGCATAGTCTGTTAAGCTTCCCTAGGCTTGATCTTTCTTTACAGAATGCATAAGTGTTCAGAACATGAGGTGTGCAAGCCTGACCACTAAATCAGCCATTAGGACCTGCTGATGGTTGATTAAAACTTCTGTGAGTTCAAAGAGTACATGATGCATGATCAGTCCCACAGGATGCGAAAGACAGGTTTAAAAAATAAAAATAAAACCTTCACCCACCATTAAAAAAAAAAGAGAAATGTCTCAAACAACTACAGCAATTACAATTACAGTAAATATACTGGCCTCCACCCTCTGTTAGGAGGAATCAGCAGAACTATGGAGGTCACTGGCTTTCACCAAATCTCCTTCACCATGACTTGGACATTATTCTGGTGCAAATGCCTCCCCTGCCAACCACTGGCGCCTGAGCTGCAGCTGTGCAACCAAGAGTGAGCCAGATTCTCCCACTACTTATTGTTTTAAATTGGTTTATCTGTACTGACTTCAGTGGATTTGCTATTGAACTACATTAGCCTGTTAAACAAGAGGATAATGATGCCCACTGACTTCAACTGGAATTTTGTCTGGAGGTATGGAATGACAGCAGAGGTTCTGATTCTTTCTTTAAGGACTGTGTTATTTTTCTCATTTAGTTTTTCATCATAAAGATGCCCCACTCACTGTACTCCAGTTGGTTTTGGTGGAACTTTGAGATAAACCACAATAAATAATACATTTATAATAGCCAAAGGTTAGGTTTCTTCAAAGCCTTAGACATGTAAATGCAGATTCCCAGGGATTGTCCTTCATAATCTGTAGAGAAATCCATGAAGCAGAATCTGAGTCAATGAGTCACTACCAGACACCAGTGACACATTTACCAGAGACTCTCCTTCAGATTTCTCCCTAAGTTACAAAACTTGTCCTATTTGAATTCTACAAGAGAGAATGTTTACTTTCTCAGATCTGTCTTGCAGATTTTCAGCCACACAAAACTTGAGCAATAGCTCTTTCACCCAGTTACTTCAGGGTAACATCAGTTCAAAGACATAAATAAAGACAGTTGCAGTGTGAAAAATAAAGGCAAAGTTAATTGAGAGAAAGAAAAGCAGATTAAATGGGAAGAGGACAAATAAGATAACGAAAGCACAAGTTCAGCTGAAAGAAAAATGATGAACAGGAAAACATGAATTTGAATGGATGAGGCTCCAATAAGGAGACTGACAAAAGATTTAGTTGATGGGGATTTTTTTGCATGCTTCTGGGAAAACCAACACTGTAATCAGACTAAATTAGCATGCACAGAGCTGAAAAAGAAGTTAGTCACCTAACATAAATGTGAATGTAATAAACGGTGACAATTCATCATTCAGTGCCAAGAATAATTTGAATCTCTACACAAGTGAGAAGAGCATCAAAAAATGGGGAAAATAATAATTCTAGTGATCATTCCGGGTGATAAACACATTCCAACAATAATAATGTTTCATGTATTTTTACTGTCACAATCTGGCCACTTCACAGTCAATGTAAGACACTGTGAGGCACAGCTCAAGCTGGGAAAGCAGATTTTTCTCTTCTCATGCCTTTTCCAGGAAGATGCACGGGTGCTCCTTGTCAGCCAAGGAGACACACATGTGCCTGCCCAGCCAGAAACTCCAGGTGCATTTTTCAAGAAACCCCTCAGTCAACTTCACAACACTACCAAGAGCTGTTTAAAGCCCCTCTTACCTGCACAACAACCACCTGGATGGACACATGGTCAGGGAGTCGGATTGGTGCTCGAAAATACTGAGATAATGCAACCAGAAGATGAAGTATGGCTACGAGACTTTTAGCATGAACAGCTGAAAGAGACGTTAAAAGCACAAGTTACAAACTGCAAAGTAACCAGAGCACAGATTTTTACTTCTGCTTAGGATACAGGGATTATGGGACTCCTTTCCTCTTGCCACCTGGAGCCTTTAAGGCACCCCATCAGCACCAATGCACTACTCTTTGCAACATGTCTGAGTGTCACAGGCTCAGGAGATGGAAATCTAAAGCTAATCCAAAAGCCAGATTTTATGTACAACAGTTTAAGTGCTTTCTCTGCATTCTCCTTGCCTCTCTTTTATTCCCTTTACTTCAATAAGGATTTATGGACTATCAGAAAGATATTTTTGTACTCATAACATGCACTTATTCATTTTTAAGTGTCACAATGTCTGCAGGATGATAAATGAGCCTGTTTTGGCACAAGCCTTAAGCAATAACTTATTAAACTCAATGACTCAAACATTCCTCATGAAGTTGTTCTAGTTCTGTTACTGAAGGTTTTTTCAGTGGGTTTCATATATGGGTAGTTAACACTAACACAACTTACAAGACATCAAAAGCCAAACTGTAGGAAATCCTTGATCAAGCATCAAACCATTGGCATGCATGTGGATAATTTCCAATCCTTATTATTGCCTTTCTTCTTCTTCTTCTATTTTGTTTTTGCATTCCCCAAAGTAGTATTCCTAAAAGATCTCTGACACTGCTGTGCACTTAGATTTTTTGTACTTGAACTAATCTTTAGGTACTACCTTACTGCACTGCTGAAACACGATCAGATTCACTAAAATACCCTTCTTCATAATCCTACAGTGCAAGTCTCAGCTATGCCATGCAGATACACACTGATATAAAATGTGGCATTGCTGGCAAATGCTGCTGGAGGGCCCATGGTCAGAGATGAGGTGCTTTAGCAGAACACTACAAAGATGTCTGTCTGCCTACCACCAGTGTGAGCTACAGCTGGACACAGCTGCTGCTCTCTATCTCTATTCCAGCTCTAAAACACATGTAAAACATTAAATTAAAACTAGGAGTTAAATTGTCAGGCCACTCCAAACACCCTGCCCCCAGCTGCATAATAAAGAATGGAAAGAAAACTTGGGGCAGGTCGAAAAAAGAAGGGGACAAAAAATTCAGCAGGACCACTGACAGGGGAAAGTCAAATGCCAAATATTCACTCTTCCTCCCTTGAGATATTTCTCTTCTTCTAACTAATTGTTGTGAATGGAACAGGATACAAAACTGCTCAGCACAAAACAGGTACAGGAGACAGAAAATGTAATGTACTGGTCAAGGTATTCACCAGCATGAAATGATTCTGAAAACCAAACTTAAAACAGATGAAGAGGCCTAATTTTCTACAACTGATAACTTGCTTTCTCCAATACATATCCACTGAAGTGTCTCATGCTGGGCCACTGAAGACATTTCTATTAGATACTGCTATGTTCATTTTTAATAGACCAGGAAGGGCACAGAATTAGTCTTGATTAGAGTTCTGTAACCAAAACTAGTTGTTCAGACTTTGCCTGAAATGATCAGAAATATTATTCATATCTATGTCACAAATTTCACACAGAGTTCTAGGACCTAACTGTCCTTATGTCCATCTGCTGCATTTCTGCAGGTACTTGCCTGTCCAATTTAGCAATACAAAACTTAAGCTGGTATGCACACGGACTTCAGAGCAAAGCCACCACACTTGGACAGGCTCTGAGAAGACACCTAACTGGAACAGAAGGCTGAGCACCAGTAAAGAGCACAGAGTGGCACATCTGGAAGTGCCCTTCAGAGCAGCTCCTGCCATAAATCCCAGGTTTCAGCCCTCCCTTGCCACTGGATATTTCAGAACTCCAGATGGCACCTACAACCTCTCAGCTGTCAACAGATGAGAACAGCAGAGCAAACACAAAACTTACAGTCAACATTCCACTTAATGCTTCTTGGAGGGAGTTTAAGGGTTTCATTGATCTTTTCAAGCACCGTCTGTAGCTTCTGTTTCTGAGCAATTTCAGACTGAGTAACTTCTGCAACATTCAGCTTCTCACTTTCAAGCTTCTCTGAAGTGATAGAAGAAAGAATGGAAGAAAAAAAAAAATTGTCAGCTCCACGAAGAATACAAAGACATTCCATACACCAGAGGAACATTCAGGAGACATCAGACTTCCTAATTTTGTATCTAAGGTTTTCCAGAGCCACTTTTCCTCTACACTTCTGAGCTCCTAAAGGTAAGTTCACATTTTGCCTTTAGTTGCACACTGACAAGGAGAAGGCTCTGTGCCACACCACTGGCTAACAAACATTTGCTGCAACTCCCTTTAGAGAGCACCAGACTTGGACATAAGGCCCTTTACTTCTATTGTTTCTGCTTGCAAGTGGCTTGCACAGCAGACCATCAAACCTAGGAAACAGACACCAACTTTACTTCATCAGTCTCAGGCTCCCAGATTCTTCCTCAGATGCAGGAGATAAAAATTTTACTTGGTCCAGTAGTGATAAAACGGAAGTGATTCCATATTCATAGAGGCAGAGGATGCATCAAAGAAAGGCAAACAAGTTTTCATGAAAACAACTAAAACCTCAGGAAAATTTCTCTCCATGAAAGCACAGCCATTTTCTGCACTCAAAATTTGCAGTAGATTTTAAAATACTTTAGGAATTAGTTTGTTACAATTAGTACAGTTGCTATGTATATACATACGTGGTTTATTGTTAACCCTTAAAGAACAAGCAAAGAAAATACAGAAGCTCCCTGGTGACAACACCAGAAACAAAATGCTTGGTCACTTATCAATCTACTTCTACAAAAGAGTATTTTGTTAAGATTTCTCTTTTTTGGTAGGAGCTGATCTTGTTCCTATCAAAGCCAACTGAGTATCTTTCCAAAGTGAGTGAACCTAAACCACCAGCCTGAGAGCTATCTTTTAATCCAGCCTAAGAGCTGCTATTTTTTAATCCAGCCTAAGAGCTGCTATCTCCTAACCCAGCCTAGAGAGCTGCTACTTCCTAATCCTGCCTAAGAGCTGCTATTTCCTAATCCAGCCTAAGAGCTGCTATCTCCTAATCCTGCCTAAGAGCTGCTATTTCCTAATCCAGCCTAAGAGCTGCTATCTCCTAATCCTGCCTAAGAGCTGCTATTTCCTAATCCAGCCTAAGAGCTGCTATCTGCATAGGTTTCTTGCACCTCCTCACCACAAGACTGAAGATTTAGTAAGCAGAGACCTGATCCACAAGGAATTAAGGGTAATGGAAAAGATTCCTCTGAAATCAATAAATGCTAGATCAGTGTATGAATATTTAGAGTCAGGCTGCACCTGATACACATGTTGTGAATTTTGGGTGAAGTCACTGGAGATCTGCCCAGGACAATCCAATTGCTCAGTCTGGGCAAATCCAGTCCATCACAATATATTCAACAGTTTAACCATTCATAGAAGGGAATAGTCTGTGAAGTCTTTATTAGAAGTGCTCACATGATGTTTCAAGATTCATTTAGGATACTGGAAAGAAATTTACTGGAGACTTTATGAGCTGTAATAACTAAGAAAATGGCTTTCAAGCCAACAGCGTAAAAAGCACATGCCAACTCTGCATTAGCAGTTTCTTTTCTCTATCTGTTTCTCAGCTGAAGCTCAGATTGCAGTCCATTGGGCACCATTACCTCAGTCATGTTAAAAGCCAGACATCAAACCAGAAAGAAATTCCAACTTTCCAGAGGAACCTTGCGATGAAGAAACTATAGCATGGAAGGAGCAGAGATTAAAAACATCCACCATGGCACTGAGACTGCCCTTGCCTTCAAACTTACTTTCCACTTGTAACATGGCAAAGTTTGTGCAGCCCATATGCAGGTAATAAATTTAATTGGAGTGAACAGTGCTGCCAAGACAAGAGCCCTCCCTCTGCAGCAGCCCAGGTAGGCTTTGTGCTGCTCTCATCAGCTGCAGAGCACCACACACTGCACTGCAGCCATGAGGGCTGTGCACACAGCCCATTGCTCAGGGGGCTCATAACACATTGCTATTTTTGTACCACTTAGTGCCATAAATGTAAGATGATACCGAGGCTCCCGGGCAGGAACAAGAGATCCACTTCTTGACAAAGTGCTTTAACACCATGCACGTGTATTTTTTCTTACCAAATAATTTCTGCAATACTTGTCCATCATACAGGTCTTCAGCCAAGTCTTTCACAATAATCCTCTCTCCTACCAACACATCATTAATCCAGTCAATTAATACCTATGTGGGAAACACAAATTTGGCAGTGTTATACACTATTCATTTGCAATTTAAACCACATGCCATTTTTCTTAGCAGAAAGAATACCAAAGCTGCAGTGGCTCAAAATACAGTCTGACATACCTTCAGGAGCAAACAGGAAAGACTCAGGAAGGACTCACCTGAGGTGGCTGTGCCAATGCACCACAAGGTCTGGACAAACACTAATTAATGCAGTATCTTCTGGACTGAAATCTTTCCCTTGCTTTCAGTAGACTTTTAACATCCTTTTGTGTTAAAGGTGCTGAAGTTGATTTTAATGAAGCATCCTGCTAAAGTTCTAACCCCAAGAATCACAAAGACAAGGGAAGATCAGCATGATCTTCAGTTGGGGATGGGATGGGACTGACACTCTGGCCTCAGGATTTTAACAGAAATTTGAAAGTCTCCCTGTGCCACATCTAGAGAAGGATACTGCCACAAATGACCTCCCCATTTCACTGGGATGTGGTTCCAACTAATTAATATCTAACTAGTGCTTTCAAGTGCTCAAGTGAAAGAGGCAGGGGTGGCATTAAAAAATAGTTCCACTTTCCTGACAGGGTTTACATGCTTTCATTACCTTCATTAGTTCTTGCAATTTTGGATCATTTCTTGAATTTGGATCCACCATTGTTCGGACTTCATTTTCCTCTGCAAGGTTTAAAAGAAAAACATTAGAAACTACCCCAGGCACAACACTTCATTTTACAGCAAGTTTTTGAGTTGAGATGTAAAATTTTTGTGAATTACCTAGCATAGTGTCCTCAGGGTCTAGTTCAAATGGAATGGGACTGAGAGGTAAGTTAATGGCATTCATTCCTTCTTCCTGTAATTCAGACACTAGGAAATAAAAAAAGAAACGCTTGGTCAAATTTCAATTTAATTTGACTTACTATTTCACTCTCACTAAAAGTAGCATTAATTGTCTTAATTTCTTTATAAGAACATGACTCTATTAGATAAGCCACTGGGTGTAATTACAGCAATAAAGTAAAGCTAACAAAAATGGGAGGCCCAGCCAACAAATCTTTACTTGCATGAGTACATTTTTCATGGATAATGGTGCTGGAACCAACACAATTACCTCAAATCTTTTCCAGGACATGGCCCATTGTCCTCAAAACTTTAAAAGGCTCGCTTGCATGTTAATGGTCCTGACATTTTAGCACTAATGAATCATTTCAGCTAAGGGAGATGCTTATTGCTCTCAGTATGTCACCGTGGCTCTGGAGATGCTTCAAGTTTAGCTCCTTGGGAAGAGCTGGTGTGGCTGCACACCCACCCTCCCACGCAGGAGTCACCAGGCTGAGGAGCCATCCCAGGCTGAAGGTGCAGCCCTCAGCACGTTCTGCTGCCCAGGATGCCCATGGGCCTGCACTGCCCAGCTGGAGTAGGCTGCAGGATGCTGCTGGCCTGTGCTCTTGGCCTTTCCTCAGCAGAAATCACAGCAGCAAGACACCGTGTAGGGTGATGAGCCCTCAGAAAAGGGGTTAGTGTGCAGTCAATGCAGGTTGAAAAAGAACTTGGATTCAGAAATGGAGAAGTAATCCAAGATCCCGCAGTTTGGAGATGTTGTCACCTAAATATAGACAAGGTCTTACTCAGCCACAGTCCCCAAATTCTGCAAAAACCAAGTTTCTTGAGAAGAAAAGACCAGAAAGACCCAGAGAAGTGGTGTAAAGGGAAGCCTGTCACTTGTTCTGTGACAGGCCAGAGCAACTTTGTTCATTTCTCTGGGTGACCCAAACTTCAATAGGCTGCAAAGACAAAACCCTCCCTTCAGTGCCCAAAGGAAGAGCCTCCCTAGCAGAGGGCAAGGAATCCCAACAAGGTAACACACCATCCTGTGCTGTGGAAGAGCTCCCAGCACAGAGCAGGGATCACAGAGCTTGTACCTTGCTTTGGGAACAATCAGTGCAAAGCTGATTTACCAGTCCAGGAAAGGGGCTCACTGTCTTAGCCATGACCAGGCAGTAATGTTGCTTTGACCACTCAATTTCCAACCAGAACTGGTTGTAAGCTCATCTGTTCCAGTCAGAGTTTACGCTTAAATAACTTAATCCAACAATCCTACATATGGCCTAAAGATTCAGGCAGCTGTCCACAGCTTCTGACATGTACTGAAATATCTGACTGATGTGCAGATGCAAGATTCACCATCCAACAATTCAGATTTACCAGCTGATGCTTTCCTCAGTTTAACCTGAAAATCACAGAGACAATTTGGTTTCTAAGAAAACAGAGAACTACTCTAAAGATCTTCTGTTTTGTCTCTGCCCTCATGGCTGCCTCATAAATCAGCTTTACTTCCTTGGTGCATTAAGTGTAGCTAAATTCACATGAACACTGTGATCATCATTGGTGTGATAACAGGCTTAGAAATTTACAAATATTTTCTATGTTCCATGAAATGTTTTGCGGTCTGCCAGATGAAATGTTTCTGTGCTTCAAGGATCTGTGTAGCTGTATTCAAGCATCTATGTAAGACTCACAGCAATAATGGCTGCCAGAGTGTTTATTACTTTTAATGGTACAAAAATAACTCTGAAAAATCCACTGCCTTCAACACTGAACCCATAACTTCACTCCATACACTCACCCTGCTTATGTATCTGTAACAGACAAGTACTGAGCAGCTCTAAAGAGTCATAAACCCATGCTGACAATAACAGTTCCCTCGACTGTTGTATATCCTCTAAAACTGATGGCTGAAAGCAATGGACCAAATTAATCCCTGATGTAACTCCACTGAGTTCTGAGGAGTTACAGCAAGGATGAAGTTGGTCTAGCATGTACAATCTCAGGAACTGCTTGCACATTAAGTAATGGCAATTGTTGAAACTGCTAGCACTCCTTGGAGAAAATCGCTGTTGGTTTCTTGGTTTCATTAACCTCTTTGAATTTTATTTTTTTGTTATGGGCAAATGTCAGCGGGTAGAAAACTTCCCTGTGGAGGTCTTTCTGCTCTGAAATGTTTAGCTCATGGAGGACTACACACAGAGCCTCCCAGGCAGAAAACGTGGGATTTTTTCACATCAGTCCCAAGGGGGAGCATAGTAAATAAAATCTATTGAAGCCAACTGCCTCCCCTGAGCTCTCCTGTCCCAAAGGGCTGGAGGCTCTGCTTGGGTGAGACACACTGGAGAAAGCAGTCAGCTCATTTTCCAAGTGAAGGACAGTAGTGAAAGCTTTTGGTTCCTCTCTCCAGGGAGCAGCCCACTGCCAGAGCTTGCTGACAATTTTGCAAGGAGACCGAGTGGACCTTTCAAGGTGGAAAATTACATAAGGAATTCTTTACAAGGCCCACTGAACCTTGCCATACCTGTCCTCTAACATGCACAACACTCTATCTTTAATAACATGACCTCCATCATATTCTCAGAGAAAATAAGAGAAAGCAAACAAACCCCTGCCACATCTTCGAGTGAAAAGTGAACATAAAATACAAATAAGACAACAAGAAATATACATGGGGAACTAAAACACTGGCATGTTCTAGAATGAAAGTGTTCTATTTACTGCCCAGCAGGGGCCAAGCTCTGCTTGCTGTACACAGCTGTAAGCACAGACATTTTGCACACCTGCCAGAGCCATTTGCAGAACCTCCAGATGATCCAAAGATCCCAGATGGATCCAGGTTTTAGAGAGCACAGCTCCTCCTCACCTCTGCTTTCTGCAGGGCACAACCCATGCCCCAGGCTAGTATTATTCCCTAATAAAGGGACTCCTGCCCTCCTGTCCCCCACAAGCAGAAAACGTGATGGAGAAACCCTGAGCCTGGCAGCATCTTTTTCATTTCTTTGCCACTACTAAAAAGCAGAGATTTAATTGCAGATTAGTAATGCTACTAAATGGAGCAGGTAAGCACATGCATTATAACAAGATGTATTAAACTGAGAGAAAATGTACTATGTAGTATAGCTTCACTTTCTAAGACTTTCCATCAGAAAAATACCATGACAAATCACTGCTATACACTTAGGTGTTTATAGAGCAACCACAAATATGTGATTGAGGTTAAGAGTTTGCATATCACAGTTTCAGTAGAGGAGTCCGTTTTTCAGCTGCTTCTCATTAATTTGTTTTAATTAATTTTCATGGAAATCACTTCAGCAACTTAGTATTTTAATAAAAAGAAAGAACACAGCACTGGGGCAATTTTTTGCAGCAGCAGAAATCACCACAACATAATCTAATTTCTTGAAATACTCTGAGGAGTGGCTTTGGAGCATCAGTAAGAGCTGCACTCCAAGGCTTAGAGGAAGGGAGGAGGGGATGGGATGGACCTGCAGCAGCTCATGTACCACACAGGCTGCCAGAGCAGGGCACTGGGAGCTGGGGCAGCTCCTGGGAAGGACAGCACCCAGGGCTTGGCCACTGCACAAGGCCAGCAATTGGAGCTCAGACCCTCTGCTGTGACCCAGATCACCGTGCTGGCATTGGGAAGATCAGGGACTTCATCCCTTTGGGCATGACAGCAAAATCCAGCCTTCCTTTTTTTTCAGTCACTATGCTGAATGGAACTGGGGGAACGCACTTTTAAAGCAAGACCCTGAAAAGCAACAGCTACATCTGGGCCAGACAAATCTCTGTGGATTGGCAATGTGGAAGTCCCAGTTTTAACTCTGGATGAGGAATGGACATTTCTGCTCAGGCTTCTGATTCAGCTCCACGTGCCAAATTTCTTATGATGTAATCAAGCGCAACTCCACTGCTATCAGCTGTCAACAGACTTCCTCCCATCATGCCAGCACCAAATTTGGCCCCAGAGCTGGGGAGCCCTCGAGCCTCTATCAACAGCAACTACAGCAGCTATTTTAAGCTGGATGGAATTCTTACTGTTTTAGATGCTCTAGGATTACGAGGTCATAAACCTGTGCTATCAAACGCAGGCGTGTGCTCTGAGCCAGAGCCTGCCCTGTGATGTGTGCATCCAGCTGCCCTTGGAGCTGCACATCTGAGATGCAGCACGGCCCATACGCTTCAAATTGCCTTAATTCCTCCAGTACATGCAGCCTGTTGCTCCACATTGTATTTATTAGACAGTTTCATTTGGGTTTTTCACTCATTTATTTTGTGTGCTTGAAGGCTTTTTGCTGCCCTATTTAGTATTCAGGGCTTAGAGTTATTCTGATTTGAATGAAACACATCTCATTATTTAACTGAGCTCAGCAATGCCACATCACCAGTGCACTCTCTGTGGTTTAGATGTATTTTACATCCATCAGAAGAATCATGAAACAAATACAGCAACATGCAGAGTAAAACAGCCTCTCCTCTGAGTGCTGCAGCCATGTCTTCCCCATGTAACTGGTTCTGCACTTACAAAATTAAAATTACTGAAGTGCTATGACAGGAATGGATGAATCCTGAAATTGTGCAATTAACTAGAACCAAACCATCATTTTGGAGGAGCACAATGCCACAGTGCTTCTAACCTCAATCTTTCAAACCCAGGAGGTTTAGATAGATGCATATACAACTACAGACATATACACATACATAACATTTCTGCAGGTCTTCAATTGCCTTTCTTTCTCTAGCATAAGGGTTTTCCATTCAAGCTTCTCAGCATTTTTAAGGTATCACATACATTGAGTTGGGTTTTTTTTTGTTTTGGTTTGGGTGTTGAATTTTTTTGTTTGTTTGTTTTTCCCGTGGAAGCTGAGATTTGCTGACATTCACATGACTCCAAGAGTTTAGGCTTTCTATAAGAAAGTCAAAATCTCCCTGATATTTTAAACTGCTACAGTAGGCAGCAGCTTTACATGTCATGTCTCTATCTTAAGCTATTTTTTCCTGGAACAAGCACCATTTGGAAGGCTAGCTGCAGACATCTT